AGGGGGCGGCGAGCGGCGCCTCGGAGGGTCGGAGGGGGAGCCCGCGGCGCCCTGGGAGGGCAGAGCCTACAGGTGCTGCTGCTCCGAGGGCGGCGCGAGCACGCGGGCACGGGCTCGTCGGACGCCCGACGACGGATCGACGGCCCCTCGGCGACTCCTGAGACGAAGCGAGGACGAAGGACAACTAGAGGGGCCCAGGGACACGCAAAGAAATAGACACACACACAAATAACAGGATTCCATGCTTTCTCATAGTTTCTCGGTGTTTGTCTCTTCCCCCCCAACTTCCCATGTTTCCTGTATCTGCTAGGGAAAAATCGACGATTCATTGTGCATGTGTGTGTGTGTGTGTTTTTCCCCTCCTGCATAACATCGGGCGAGGGTAAAGACGACGATCTCCGAGATCCAGTGGCCCTGGAGGACGCATCGGGCGTCGGGGCCTCCGAAGAGCGTCTCCGGAACGCTCTGCGAGCGTTTCAGGACGCTCTGGAACGGATTTGATCCTCGTCCTAGCCCCGTCGGGCAGGGAGGAGTCATTCAGAGGGAAGAGGGGTGGAGCAGGAGGAGGAGGAGAAGGAGAAAGAAGAGGAGAAAGAAGAGGAGGAGGAGGAGGACGAGGAGAAAGAAGAGGAGGAGAAGGAGGAGGAGGGGGAGGGGGAGGAGGAGGAGGAGGAGGAGGAGGAGGAGGAGGAGGAGGAGGAGGAGGAGGCGGATAGCGCCTGGGGCCGCGCCCGAGTCGCGCCCCAAGCGTGCGAGGGGGGAGGGGGGGCCCGATGCCAGCGAAAGAGCCGCCCGTGGACGCCTTGGAAGCTCGTGCCGGCGCTCTCGTTCTGGCCTCCGGAAGCCCTGCCGCGGAGCCCGAGGGCGGCCCGCCGACGACCCGTGAGCAGGCAAGTCGAGCACCGAGGAAGCACCGAAACAGGAGGGTTTTCGCGCGTCGGGCCCTGGGAGGCGATACTCGTTCGACACTGTTTCGATACTTTGCTGGGTGCTCGCAATTATTTCTGGGATGTGGTCCTTAAGTACGATGGGGACAGCAGAAGTGTTTCTGGGATGTGGTCCTTAAGTACGATGGGGACAGCAGAAGTGTTTCTGGGATGTGGTCCTTAAGTACGATGGGAACAGCAGAAGTGTTTCTGGGATGTGGTCCTTAAGCACGATGGGAACAGCAGAAGTGTTTCTGGGATGTGGTCCTTAAGTACGATGGGAACAGCAGAAGTTTAGGTCCAGCTTTGGCCAGGGGCGCGCGGCGAGGCGAGGCGAAGGCCGGGGGGGGGGGGTCGCAGAGCGCGGGAGGGGCCGGAAGCGGAGCGGGGGGGCGGGGGAGGGAGGAGGGCCCCGACCTTCCAGGAGGGCGCGCCAGGGGCGTCGGCATCCAGAGCCCGGTCGAGGCTGCATGCAGCCGAGACGGGCCTAAGGAGGTCTGGAGGGCGACGTTTTTTGGCCCTCCTGCAAGGGAAGGCCAGGGGGGGGAGGCCTTCCCCGCGAACGCCCCCAAGGACGAACTCTGAGGGCCCCCGTGTCGGTCGGTGGCGGTCAGCGCTAGTCGGGGCGCCGTCTAGGCTTGGTCGCAGGGCCCGCATGCGTCCTCTCGGTCTTCGCGGGATGTCATCCCGCGTGAGCACCGCGGCTGGGCTATAGAGCGATCGGGGGCGGAAGCCGGCGCAGACGGCGGAGCGGCGCGCCCCGGCGGCGCGCGGGGCTGCGCGGCTGGCCTACGGGGGCCTGCGCACGCCATGGGGGGGGTCGGCCAGCAGCGCAGAGGCGGGGGCTGGGGCGCGGTGGGCAAGCTGGCGCCCAGGGAGGCACAAATGGCTGGAGACAGGGTCCAGGATTCCCATTCTTGCTGCCCCATGTGTTCTGGATTGGATGTGCGTCTGCCCCATGCGTCCCCGTGGGTTCCTGGCAATCGACATGTCCTCGTGTCGGTGCTGAATGTTCCTCTCCTGAGGGGGGGGGGGCAGACCCCCGACGTCATGATCTGTTCTCAACGTCAATCCCCACAGACGTATGGACCCCTTCCCGGAATCGGTTTCTCATCCCGAATCGTCGTTGGATGGCCCCGAGGCCTGGCAAGGGCCCCGAGTCTTATGTTGTTCCCATCGTACTTAAGGACCACATCCCAGAAATAATTGCGAGCACCCAGAACAATACCGAAACAGTGTCGAACGAGTATCGCCTCCCAGGGCCCGCGACGCGAAAACCCTCCAGTTTCGGTGCTTCCTCAGAGCTCGAAATTATTGCTGGCGATCGAGGCCAAAGTAGGTTGGAACATCATAACCTTAGGTCGGACATGTCCCCCTACAGGCGGATCTGCAGCACAAAAACATATACACCAACAAAAACTCACATATTGTCAACAATGGTAGAACACATCTTCCCCAGATTCTTTTTGGACTATTCTCGAACATTCCTCGGGACACGCCCGACTTAATCATTACCCGAGCCCTGAAAATAGCAATAAGCACGCATTTCGTGTTTTGTTCTGTCTTGCCTCGACAGGGTCTGGGCGTGGAGGCGGCGTCTTCCCCAGGGATCGGGCGGCGGGGCGGCTCTCGGAGTGGCCCCCGGGGGCCGCCCATGCCCTCCCCAATAGACGTTCCTGGACGTCGACGTTTGCGCTTAGGTCGGGCACGTCCTCCTACAGGGAGATGTGGGCGGAGAATTAACACTAGTCCAACCATCTTCTAAATATCAAATGCTCAAGACATCGTCCCCAGGCTATGTTTTTGAATATCCTGTAGAGGGGCACGCCCGACTTGAGTTTACTGGCGTGTCTGTGCTTATGTTTCTCTCCTGGAGGGGGTGGGGGGAAGGCGGCCTTGCGGTCCATTCCCGAGGAGGGCGGCGGGGGGGAGGGGGGGCTCTCGGAGTGGCCCCGGGGGCCCGCTGAGGGGGGGGCCTCTTACATAGAAGAAGGAAAACGACATAAACATAAACTTTTGGCGCTCCGCGCGGATTTCGTGGATTCGCTCCGCGCGCCAGGGGCGACGCAGGCGGCGCCGCCGGGGGGCCCAGGCGCGGATCCAAGAAATCCGCGTGGAACGCCCAAAGTTGATGTTTATGTCATCGGGCGTGCCCCTCTACAGAAGGAACTTTCAAAAATAGGAAAGACATAAATTCCTCGTTTGACTTTTTGTGGCTGATATTCAAGAATTTCCGTCCAAGATCCGCCTGTAGGGGGACATGGCCGACCTAAGACGAGACCTGGCGGCGTGCAGGGAGGGGCAAGGAGGAGGGGGCAAAGATTCTCAGATGCAGGCCGCTCCCTGAGACCCCAGAAGTCTATTGACTTTTGGTGTGGGAACGACACGCTTTCCATAGCAAAACCATCGCAACCCATGAAACCCAGGGCACCCTGGAGGCAAGCAGGGTGTTTCTTGGCATTGGCCTTCACTCTACCGTAGGGATGCTCGAAGACAAAAAAAGGTCAAGTCGCATCAAGAAAGCGGTTCCTGGATGACAAGGAACACTGGATGATTTCTACGTTTTCGGCCCCTGTCAACGAAAACAACTCAGGATGATGATCTGGTCCTTGGGGAAGCCCTGGGATTCAGGACCCGTTACCCTCAAATAACCTTTTCCTTCATGGCGAATCACTGCGCAACACAACGTCACGGCCGGCAAACTCTAGACACAGCACGTCGCACCATGGCAAAACAAATGCATCGCCGCTGCTCAACTCTTGGAACGTACTGCCACGAATAACACGGCACTGGAAACATCGACCACGAAACCACCACCCGGGACAGATGCGAGGAGGGAGAGGCCCATCGGCAACACTCAAAACGGCTGATGTGTCCCATGCCTGCGGGCAATCCTTCTATCCATGTCCGCTGCGTCTGGGACTTCCTGGGAAAGGGGGCGCGAAAAGGCCGAGGCACGGAGGATGTGGATCAACATCGAGCTCGCCAGGGGCCAAAATCTTCTCCATATCCGCTTCGCCTCGGGTATCTGGGGGAAGGGCGACCGACACTCCAAGATGCAAGGGATGTGGGGTAACCAAAAGGTGCCGATACCGCTACGCTCCGGACCTCTCCAAGGGTGCATTCTGACTAGGAACTCCGAGGCGAATCCAGCGGTGGCGACGAGGGCCTCCCGGGAGGCCCCAAGAGGGGAAAAACAAGCTCCTCTGACAGCCAAACCGTAAAGTAAAGACGCACGATAAAGATGCAAGGGCCTTGGAAGGCCATTCCGACACTTTGCGAGCGGGGCACGGCCAGCGAAAGCGACCAAGGATGGGCCAAAGGGAAACGATGCAGGGGCAACCTTGGCAAGCCGCTCCTCCTTACCGTGCGGTTTCACTGTACATCTTGCCCGCAACGCTGCGGGAGCAGAAGCCTCCTAGATGGAGTCTGAGAAGATGGGGCCGGAGGATCTCGTCGCATCGCCGATGCATCGGCGATGCATCACCGATGCATCGGCGATGCACTGGCGATGCGCCGGCGACGTCGGCGATGCGTCGGCGCCGTCGGCGTGGAGAGAATCGGGCTCCACATCGAGCCGCGTCGGCGATGCATCGGCGACGCGGAGCGATCCTTCGACCCCATCTGCTCCGACCCCACCTGGGAGGCCAGGCCTCCCAGATGGGATCGGAGGCACGTGGTGCAAGTGGGCGGCTGCACAATGCGCAATCCCTGCTGTGGTTCCCTGCGCCCCTTTGTGCCATGTGGTTTTTGAACGCCCGAAATGAGCACGGAAAAAAATGTACAATGCCGAACAACACATGTGGTCCCAAACCAACAGCGGCCGCTGTGGGGTAGGCGGCCTTCTGTCTCAAGTGGACACAGGCCGCGACGGCGCGGACAGCGGGTCCTGTGCACAATGAACAGGAACTGCTGTTGGGCATTGTACCCCTTCTTTCCGCTTGTGCCGATACCCGATGAATGGCCGAGCTTGTCCGTGCACCCCCCGGATGGCCTAGCTCGCCCCCTCCGAGGCCTCGAAGAATGCGGCACGCGCAGTGGGCGCCACACCCCCGGGCAGGCCGCCGGAGGGTCCTCGCCGCCCTCCGGTCTGGGCTGCACCGTCGACGCCCTGGCGGCGCCGCCGCAGGTGCTCGCGCGAGGCTGCCGCGGCAGGAGCAGGAGAAGGAGGAGCAGGAGGAGCAGGGGGACGACAAACCCCATTGCTCCTGCTCCTCCTCCTCCTCCTCCTCCTCCTCCTCCTCCTCCCCTCCTCCTCCTCTCCTCCTGCTCCTCCTCCTCCTCTCCTCCTCCTCCTCCTCCTCCTCCTCCTCCTCCTCTTCCCCTCCTCCTCCCCCCTCCCCTCCCCTGCCCCTCCCTCCCCCCTCCTCCTCCTCCTCCTCCTCCTCCTCCTCCTCCTCCCCTCCTCCCTCCCTCCTCTCTCCTCCTCCTTTTCCTCCTCCTCCTCTCCTCCTCCTCCTTCCTCTCTCCTCTTCCTCCTCCTCCTCTCCTCCTCCTCCTCCTCCTCCTTCCTCTCCCTCTCCTCCTCCTCCTCCTCCTCCTCCTCTCCTCCTCTCCTCATCTCCTCTCTCCTCCCCTCCCCCCTCCTCCTCCCTTCTCCTCCTCCTCCTCCTTTTCTCCTCCTCCTCCTCCTGCTCCTCCTCCTCCCTCCTCCTCCTCCTCCTCCTCCTCCTCCTCCTCCTCCTCCCCGCTCCCCGCTCCCCTGCGCTGCACCCCTCCCCCTTTCCCTCCCAATCCTGCCGCTCTCCTTCCTGCTGCTGCTGCTCGTCCTCCTCCTTTTCCTCCCGCTCCATCCTCCCGCTCACCCGCCACCTCCTCCTCCTCCTGTGCACGCAACTCCCCTTTCCCCCACTACCGCATAGCACCCAGGTCGGCTATGACACGCGTCCTCGGACAGAGAAACCTCAGCGCCATGGGAAGGGATGGGAGGGACAGGATGGCAGATGAGGCGCGAGCGCACCTAGCTTGACCCCTCCCCCTCTCGTGCTCTCCGACCCCCCTCCCCTGCTGATCATGTCCAGCTCCAGCTCCAGCGGAGCAAGCCGCGGGAGCAACGCACCTGGGCAGGTGGTGAAATCCCGAGCCGCAACCGCATTCCCGAAGGAGTCGGGAGGAAGTCCGGAGCGGGACCCGCACTCCTTGAGTGGAAGTTGTTCCAAAGCTCGCCGTGGCAGTGGCAGTTGACATGAGGGGGTTCCCCCAACGATGATCACCCCGATGCGGCGGCGACGGGTCCGCCGGGGACAGATGCGCAAAAACGATCTGCCCGCCGCACGGAACTATTGAGAAGTTATTGTACAAAGTTGTGCGATGTGCGATGGGCGCGCCGTGGACAGTGAAGTTCAACCATGTGTGGCGCGCAATTTTTTCGGTGCGACGGCGACGGCGGGTGGCCAGACAGATGCACAGTACGTAACCAAGCACGTTCGCCGACGGTGCGACAGCGACCGGCGAGGCCGCGACAGATAGACAGTTCGTTTGTTTCCGGAGAACTCCTAAGATAGACTGTGGGAAGGATGGGGAAGCCATTCTGCTTCACCCTTGGTGCCTTTGCAGGGCCGCTTGGGGCCGTTTCGCCTGAGACGTCGTCGCAACATGGAGACGTCGGCCCGAGAAAAGCCAACGTGGCCTTCACCATGCACACACATCTCTGCAGCGCACGCAATGGCCAAAACACAATATAAAAATCCCACCAGCCCTTTGGGCGTGAGTGGTTTAAGGAGCCCTCTCTGTCCTCAACCCCCTTCTTCCCCTTGGGGTAGGGGTTAACCCCTCCCCCTACCCCCTCCTCCTGGGCCTGGAAGGGGCGTTTCGCGGGTCGTTGGGTCACCGAGGATGGCCTAAGATGGCGCCAAGAGGGCCCAAGAGAGCTCAAGGTGACCTCCAAGATCGCTCAAGATAGCCCTCGATGACTCAATATAGCTCCCAACATGCGTACAAGACGCTCCAAGACCGCCCCAAGACGGTTCCACGTGGTCACCGGGCTCCCGATGCATCGTGTAATTGTTTTATACCATCGGAGGCCATGTTAAGTTCAAAACTCAATGGTCAAAACCCAATGTAAATATTCACTATCTGGGCCCAAGAGGCTGCCACATAAGCGTGGAATATATACAACCAATACAATATGCGAGGCGCGCGCGCGCTGGTGACCCGCGCGGGGCCGGGTCACCCGCGCGCGCGATGCATCCTGTATTGGTTTTATTCCATCGGAGGCCATGTTAAGGTGAAAACTCAATTGTCGAAACCCAATGTAAAAATTCATTCTCTGGGCCCAAGAGGCGGCCATATAAATGTGGAAAATATACAAACCAATACAATATGCGAAGCGCGCGGGCGCGCTGGTGACCCGCGCGGTGCCGGGTCACCCGCGCGCGCGCGATGCCTCCTGTATTGGTTTTATACAATCGGAGGCCATGTTAAGTTGAAAACTCAATGATCAAAACCCAATGTAAATATTCATTCTCTGGGCCCAAGAGGCGGCCATGCCAACGTCAAATATAGAAAACACAATACAATATGCGAGGCGCGCGGGCGCGCTGGTGACCCGCGCGGTGCCGGGTCACCCGCGCGCGCGCGCGATGCCTCCTGTATTGGTTTTATACAATCGGAGGCCATGTTAAGGTGAAAACTCAATGATCAAAACCCAATGTAAATATTCATTCTCTGGGCCCAAGAGGCGGCCATGCCCACGTCAAATATAGAAAACACAATACAATGGGCGAGGCGAGCGCGCGCGCTGGTGACCCGCGCGGGGCCGGGTCATCCGCGCGCGCGCGCGCGATGCATCCTGTATTGGTTTTATACAATCGGAGGCATGTTAAGTTGAAAACTCAATGATCAAAACCCAATGTAAAAATTCATTCTCTGGGCCCAAGAGGCGGCCATATAAATGTGGAAAATATACAAACCAATACAATATGCGAAGCGCGCGGGCGCGCTGGTGACCCGCGCGGTGCCGGGTCACCCGCGCGCGCGCGATGCCTCCTGTATTGGTTTTATACAATCGGAGGCCATGTTAAGTTGAAAACTCAATGATCAAAACCCAATGTAAATATTCATTCTCTGGGCCCAAGAGGCGGCCATGCCAACGTCAAATATAGAAAACACAATACAATATGCGAGGCGAGCGCGGGCGCGCTGGTGACCCGCGCGGGGCCGGGTCACCCGCGCGCGCGCGCGATGCATCCTGTATTGGTTTTAGACAATCGGAGGCCATGTTAAGTTGAAAACTCAATGATCAAACCCCAATGTAAATATTCACTCTCGAGGCCCAAGAGGCGGCCATGTAAACCTTGGCAGGTCTTAGCAGCATTTCCATTCCCCTCCGTTTGGGTAACTGGAAGAAATGGGCCGCCACCAATGGATAGACGCCCCCCGCCAGTCAAGCCGCGCCGAGGGTGCGACGGCGCCCGGGGGATGGGCAGATAGACGGACAGAAGATGCGCAGACGTATCGGTGCGACGGCGCCTGGGGGGATAGATGTAGATACATGGATACGCCGCGCCAGCCAAGCAAAGCCGACGGTGCGGCGGCGAACGCTTTTTGAATATTGACCAGAACGGAGATCAATACAGGGGGAACCCCCTTATCAGTTGACGCGGCGGCGGCGGAAGGAGGCAGGAAGGAACACGGGGAGGGATGTAAGAAGGAGGGCAGGGAGTGCCACCGCGTTATCCCAAAGGTACGCTTTGCCTAACAGCCATTTGTGCATGGTGAAACATTGCCTCTTTTGCAAAGCTGGCTGCTGGACACTCGGGCGTTGGCTCTTCGTGTACCTTCAACGATGGATTGACATAACTTCAGCATGGCATATACTGCACAACTAGACAAACTGTACGGCAAAGCGTAAACCGTACAATCAGTACTAGACAAGCAGAGGATGGCATACCATACAAGTGAGTATACTGCAGTATCGCCTGATGCACCAGCGAGTCGCATTGCGCAGTCTATCGCATTGCAGAGCGCATGGCATCCCATCGCACAAAATAACATTCGCCCTGATGCGCATTGCACCGCTGCCTTTTACATTCATGTTGGATCGGTTGTGCATCGCAGTGTTGTAGCGTTGCTATCAAGTGCGTCTCATAGCGTCGCAATGCTCTGTGGTTATGTTCACTTATGTTGCATTGTGAGATCGTGTCGCTTTGTGGTTGCATCGCACTCGCACTACATACGCATCGCAATGCATTGCATCGAAGTGGATGTGCAGGTGTTGGGTTGTGTTACTCTGCCGTGCATGGACTTCGCAACTGCATTGAAGAGTATTTGCTGAATGTGTCATTGCGTTGCACTGTCTTGCGCACAGCTACAATACGCTGCATAGCGCTGCTTTCTCTCGAACTGCGTTCCGTTGCCGTGCGCTGAATGGCGCTGCAGCGCGTGCGTTGTGCCGCTTGTCTGTTCCGCTGGTCCCCCTGTTGCACTGCGTTGCATTGCGTTGCACTGCATTGAACTTTCAAGCGTGCTGTCCTGCCTGCCCCTCCCCCTCTCCACTGAAGAGGCTCCCCACACCTCCGACGCCCCAGAACCGCCCCCCTTGACCGCCTCCCTCGCCCCGCCAAGCCGCTCGGCCTGCGGCGCTGGGACGGTCGCACCGCGGGCGAAGCGGCCACCGGGCCACCGAGGCCCCCTCAAAAGAGGCGCGAGTCAACACTGCGCGCGTCCGCCCAGGCCCTCGCCGGCCCTCTCCTCCACGAACCCCGACGGACAGCGACGCCATCCCTTCTCTCCTCGCTCCCCCCTCTCGACTCCCCTCCCCTCTCCTGCCGATCCTGTCTGTCCCCCTCCGAGGCATCTGCTGTCTCCTCCCCCTCCTGTGATGTGCCGTGAGCGTGGCGCCAGCTGAGGCTACACGCCGTCCGCGGGAGCTCGTCCCATCGCCCGAGGACGGGGCCGCGCCAGGTCGACTCTATGCACCGTCCCATCGAGTTCCCAGCCCCATCTCACGGCAGCCGCCTCGTGCCCGCCCTCACTCTGATCTGTTCCCCGTTCCCTGCCGTCGCCCCTCTCCTCCGAACTCCGAATTTGCCCGCATTCTGCCTTGTCCATATCAGGAGGGAAGCTCGCAATGGAAGGGTCATCAAAAAGATGAGCGGCCTATACGAAGCGAACTTCATCTGAGTTGGCACCTCGGAAGGGGCAGCCCGCCACAAGCAGCAACTCACAAAAGGACGCATCAAAACAAAACATGCCCTGGGAGTTAGCGCCGCGCTGAATCATGTTGTGCCTCAGCCAACCCCTGCAGGCGATACGAAACTTCCAACATGAGCGCGGCAAACGCACACCTCTTCCAAAAGAGGACATCTACACACTCGGACACCAAAACACACTGTATCTCCTTAACAGACTAACTACCGTCTGGAGGATTAGACCAGCGCCTGGACTGTTTGCATTCAGTACCGACTAACATGTGGCATCGATTGTTCGACAGCTTGCCTGACGGTCAGGGTGAGACAATCATATGCAAAGCCAAATGAATGGCGCGTGTTGTAATTCTGATGCAGTGAGTTTCGTTCACAACGCGGTCACACCAGAAATGGGTCAGGCAGGCCCGTCCCTAGACCCCCTCGCCTGACATGCCCCTCGTCAGAGACGCCGCCCAGTTAGCACGGACGGGCCAACCTCTCCGACCCCGATGCGAGTCGCGTCCGAGATCCTGAATCGAAGCACGCGCTGCCGAGGACTGTCGAGGCCGAAGCCGTCCGCACCTAGGCGCTCATGTCCTCATCCTCCATCCTCCATCCTCCTCCTTTCCTCCTCCGCCTCCTCCTACCGCTTCCTCCCTCCTCCTCCTCCTTCTTCCTCCTCCCTGCTCCTCCTCCTCTCCTCCTCCCTCCTCTTCTTCCTTGTGTTTCTCCTCCTCCTCCTACTGCTCTTCCTCGCTCCTTTTCCTCCTCCCTACTCCTCCTGTTCCTCCTGCTTCTCCTGCTCTCCCTGCTCCACCTCCTCTTCCTTCTCCTCCTCCTCCTCATCATCATCAATAGCATCGCAAACCACCACCACCACCACCATCACAATCAGCATCAGCATCAGCAGCAGCATCATCATCACCATCACCATCACCATCACCATCACCATGACCATGGCCATCATCAGCATCATCAACATCACCATCACCATCCTCATCCTCATCCTCATCCTCATCCCCATCATCATCAGCATCCTCATCATCATCACCATCAGCATCAGCATCATCATCAAAATCAGCATCAGCATCAGCACCATCACCATCACAATGGTCATCATCAAAATCATCATCATCATCACCATCACCAGCATATCATCATCCTCATCCCCATCCTCACCATCCTCACCATCATCATCATCACCATCATCATCACCATCATCATCATCATCATCAGCATCATCATCATCAGCATCACCATCGTCATCATCATCATTATCATCATCATCAACATCATCATCATCAACAGCAACATCGTTATCATGCCCATCATCATCATCAACAACAACATCATCATCAACAACGTCAACATCATCATCATCAAACACATCGACAACACAGCAACAATCGACAGACACAGGGCACATCTCTGGCCTCTCTCGTCCACAAACCGGCGCCTTGGCCTGGGTCACAATGCCCTCCCTGAGATAGGCCGAGTACCCCGTGGTGTCCTCGATCGTGAACGAGAACGGCCCCGTCACCTTGATTTGCCTCCGAAAGATGTTACAACAGCCCTATTCGCAGTCACTTGGATCGAGTCCAACGGTACTCTCCTGCATAAACTTGTATGCCACACTCCACCACGGCAACGTGCACAATGGCGCTGAAAGCCAGAGGGAAAGCAAGGAGGGATGGCGGGGGTAAAGCCAAGAGAACGAAGAAAACAGGGAAGGGCTCCGGACGTCTATGACAATGTGGCAGTCTGGCAGGAGCCTGAGAGGACCTCGGAGTCGGGCCGACACAACGGACGTCCTCATTTCTCCCCTACCACAGCTTGTCCTAGAACACTCTTATTGGCCAATACTGTTCGTCATATTGCCAGAACTCTACTCACGGGCCTGAGTCTGCTTCTGTAAGCGTAACGCATACTGCTGGCCGATTTTTCGTGTGGGCAGAATCGTCTGCGCGCAACGCTCACTAGGGCACACTGATCTTCGTGTTGCCAGAACTTGACTGTTCGGACTGGTTTTCAGTGTCTGGGGTCAACCCTCCAACGTGTGGTTCTTCATACTGCCAGATCTAGGTTCCGGGGACTGTTCCCAAACGTCTGGAGCCAAAGACGCTCCAACTCCAATCGCAGCTCCAGCCCTGGCCCC